GGTGAGCTGAGTTCAACAGCTGACGTCACAAGCTGGATATTCATTGGTCGACCTGAAAATATCAATGGCTGTCTCTTATACACATCTAGATGTGTATAAGAGACAGGGGTCGGACTGTGTTACGTAAAAAACAGTTGACCATTAACAAAAAATGACAATTTCAAAAATGGAATTAAAATTAATATCTGATTACAGAAAACCTACATCAATTATGAATATATAATGTATACATATGTACAGATACATATTTGAGATTGACATTTTGTGTGGGCCCACCTTTTGTCTGAAACCAGACCCCAATTGGGAGTGTGGTTCCTACAGTACTGGACGGTATTATTAAAAAAATCACAACACATTTTACCCGTTGCCATTGCGTTGTGTTCTCGTTGAATTGCGTTGCGTTGAAATGAACATTATTGTTGATAGTTAATTCAACACCTAGCCTATCTAGCGACGGTGTTACAATGATTATCAATAAACAACATGGAGACCGAAGTATTGGTAAATATTATAGTAGGAATCTTCCAACATTTACTATTGTATTGTGTTCTTCTGGTGCACTCGCCAGGCCTAGGCTATAAATAGGTTGACACTTGGACTAGGCCTACTGTAGTTTACAACATTTAACGATGCCAAATGTAGCATATTATTATAATATATTCTTACTCTATGCAGCCTAGCTGAGACACCATAGGCCCATTTTGCAACAGCAGGTTCTGATTTGCAGGATTATTAATTTCAATTTCGTATTAAATGGTGGGTCCAGGATTTGGCGTTATCCTTGCAAGTATAAACAGGCCTTAAAATTGTACGAGTATAATATGTTCATGTTCTTCGTTTGTGCACGGTTTGTGTCGTTTTAAACGACAAACAAATGGTGAATTTAGGTCTACATTACTCTGCAAAAACTTACACACAATACCGATCATTTCTTAAATAATTGTTAACCAAATTAGCCATTGAACAATAAAATGAGACTTTCAAAAACAAATAGTTTTTATGACAAATGTATTATCTAATTGAAGCTTTCGGAATGTATTGGTAATGTTTTTTGTCCGTACTACTGTTTCGGCTAGGCTTCCAGAGATAAGATATGTCCACGATTGTCCTCAGAGTTGTACACTTTTAGACAGTTAGGCAACACGGAAAATTCATCAACACTCCATTGTCTTACCATACGGTTTGTAGTTTTTCTGTAGGGGGTACTTTCTGCCCTTAGTTATGGCTTTAATATTTATCAAAATAGAAAACCAATAAATAGGGCATGATGTCATATCCAGTTTAGTTTGGGTACCAAAAGTCATTTTTGCCTGTTTACAAACATTTGAAACGTACAGCATAACACACAAATGCACCATGTAGGTATCACATCCTCTTAAATGCAAAGGTTCCTATTTTTATAGGAACCAAAAAATTGGTTAGAACTTTTAAAGTTCTTGAAAGCGCAGCTCAGCTTTAAGCTGGCTGAATAACTTACATTCTTGAGCTCATCGATGGCTTAGGTGAGCTGAGTTCAACAGCTGACGTCACAAGCTGGATATTCATTGGTCGACCTGAAAATATCAATGGTGCCGATTTCATAGTCAAAGTCAAATAATAAAATATGAATGGTGCCAGTTTTATAATAGTCAAAATTATATAATAAAATATGAATGGTGCAGGTTTTACAGTCAAGATCATTTATTTTATTTCTATTGTAAAAGCTTATTTTATTTGTATTGAACTTTGTTTGATGAGGGTAGCCCTTACAGCTAAAAGCTGACTCAATGGTCCTCAAATTAATTATTCCTCAAATTAATTTTAAACTAGATTTGAACTCGTCACTGAGGACGAGTTTCGTGATCCGCCGCACTTCGTCCCTCAGGAAGCGCGAGCAGTGCAGATTGAAATGTTTTTAAATTTTCAAAATGGCCTAATATATGCTCTAGTTAGTTTTTTAAAAAAGTGTAATTTGAAAAGATTTACGCTTGCGTATGCAGATGTCTTGATGTTTGTGCGCATGTTAATGGCACAAAAAGTTAACTCCTTATATGAATTTAGTGTCAGGAACACAAAAAAGTAACAAACCGTAATTTCCAGCTTCAGTACGTGTTGCGTGGGTAGAAATGAGCATACGGTGGATAAATTATGGAAAGTTTTGCAATGCTGAAAATGTCCTGAAACGTGCTTTAAATTATCTGAAAAGTGATATTGAGAGTTTCTAAATTTTGCCGCACACGCACCGACGTGCGCGTGGACGGTAATGGCACACGAAATTGAACCTTGTCAAGTGTGTCAAGTGTAATTTAAAAACGCCTCTTCGTTGGTAATGCCACACAAATTTTTCCTTCATATGTACTGTCAGTCTGATAGCGTCGAAATATACTCTGCCACCCTCTCTATCGTCAAAGATTTCGACAAAATTGAAGAGATAAGAGGGCTCCAAAAATTCATTCTTTTTGATCATGATGACGTCGTCAAAATAAAAAATAAAGGGACACTTCCGAAAGAGAATTGTCTCAGCTACAACATACTAACAGTGGGAGACGATTAATCAAGTATAAGCGAGATACGTTCAAATGAGTTTAAAATTTTGAAGACTGCATGGTCTAGGAAGTGTACATTTTTTTATGGGGCAAGTTTCCAAGGGCGGGTTTTCTAGGGGCGAGTTGACTGCCAAAGGGTGTTGCCAAAGTGCGAGCCAGCGTGTTATTTGATCATAAGTGCGAGACATCGCAAGTGTGAGACAGCGAGCCATGACGTCACGACAATAGATACGAGACATTAATCGAGTTGTGCGAGGTACGGCTGAGATTTGTGGAGTACAATTCAAAAAACAACTATAGGTGTAATAATGAATTATTGTGATGTTAAATAGACAATGTTAGCTATCAAGGAGCGACGTTGTTTTTCATTGGGACCTTCGTATATTCAAGGCTAGGCCTATATTATCCTAGCTAGTCTAGGCCTAGAGTAGGATAAGGCTAGCGCGACGTGTGGACCTTGGTACGTGTTGGTTAGTCTACAAACGTCGCCTAAAGTAATTGATTTTACCTGGCAGAACGAAAAAAGGAAACTCCGCTTTCAGTCGTCGATAGGCCCTTGTTTTTTGACAAACAATGACCTTTCAGAGGTCAAATTGCTGTCAAGAATATGAATTGGCTGCTTTGCAGCAAATAGGCATTATTTTAGGCATATATAATTGTTGACACACGCGTAAGCGCACGTTAAGAAGCGCAAACCGAAAATTAAGGTACATGACATTCAACCATGACCTGAAGTTTATGCTCACTTAATATGATTCAGAAATGACGAATGATTAAGATGGTATGGCGTCATCAACGTTTTGAGGAAAGAAAGATGATGGGTTCAGAAAAAACATTTTTTTTACCATGTTGACATCATCAAAATGTAAAAAGAACTCGCATATATGAAATAGAATTGTCTCAGCTATAACATACTTAAAGTTGGGAGACGATAGACCAAGGATAAGCAAGATACGCTCAAATGCATATTTTGAAAATTGACTTCATCGATAAAATTCACTTTGTTAAATTCAGATGGCAATATGATGACGTCACAATGTCCGATCGGCCATTATGAGCTAGAAAATCATATTTACAACTCATGTGCTTTCAGAATATGTAATAAAAATTGGGGGTCACCTTTCATCCTAAAGAGCTGTAACTGTTTAAAATTAGGCCTGATTTTAGCAAAATTTAACTGTATATCGGCACAAATGCGCACAAAGTTCACTATGTTTGATACGTGCGTACGGCATTGTTATTGGAAACTTGTAAAAACAATGTCAGTAACTTAAAATGTGACAAAAAACTTAATTTCTAGCTTCCGTACGTATAAAAAAACATCATGTTCAATTCCCTGTCACGCATTAATCTAAGTCACGACATTAACTTAACAGACATCAAGTA